TCGTGAAAAATCACAGCTACTTTAAGCAGGCTGTGTGAATTTTACTGTGGACTGACTGTTTTGAAACTTATATGGTAGTTACTTAGCACCTAGACCTCAGTTATCATGAAAAAAGTCAGGAATTTTTTTTTATTTTTTTTTGCCAGTTTTGCCAATATGGGACCTTTTAAAGAGTTAGTTCACCCAAAAAAGGAATCATGTAATTTTTTACTCGCTCTCATGTTCAAAACCCATCAGACTTTTATCTTCAAAACGGAAATAAAGATATTTTTAATTAAACCCGAGATATGCCCCTCCATTATCCATTTCACTAAAACTGACACTTCAAAAAGTTCATTTATTCACATATAAACATTGAATTAACGCACACCGAGCCCATTAAATGGGTACAAAATGGAAGCTTTTGTTTCCCATATTTGGTGTGTGTGTGTGTGTATAATTTTGGCTTTGTAACGACATGAGGCTTAGCAATTCATGACAGTATTACTTTGTTTTGAATGTTATCATGCGGTGTAATTTTACTGTCCTCGGTGTAAAATGAACTTTTATGTGGCTAGACAGCCTAGTATTTTGGTATTTTGTATGTAAATGTGAAATTATCTAATTGTTTTCTTTTTTAGCAATTTCAAATAAGTGTGGATATTGTCCTATGACTTCACTCTCCTAATCATCATCAAATACATCAAAATGGACACTGTGCATATTGATCCTATTTAAATATTTCCTTGATCTCATTGTGGTCTACATTCATGAGTGATCATAAATTTACATAACTTGCATACAAGTTACATTTGTTGCAAATGTAATGTACACTTAATCACCATTTATTATATTTATGTTGTTTTACCTCCCATTACACTGCTCAAAAAAACTTAGGGAACACTTAATCATCAAAATATAAAACCAAGTCAGTTAAACTTCAGGGATATCAATCTGTCCAGTTAGGAAGCATAAGTGATTGTGGATAAATTTAATCTGCTTTGCTGCAAATGAAAGCGACAACAGGTGCACTGAAGAGGCAACAGCAAGACGACCCCTAAAAAGGGAATGGTTTTGCAGCTGGTGGCCACAAACAGATGCTTTCTCCTTATCCTTCCTGACTGATTTGTCTCTAGTTTTGTTTTGTTAGGGTCCTTCTCAGTACTTGTAGCATGACGCAGTACTTGCAACCCAGTCAGGTTGCACAGGTAGTCCAGCTCCTCCAGGATGGCACATCCATACATGCCGTCGCAAGGTTTGGCATCATTAAAGTGACCCAGGAAGTAATTGACTACAGGGAGTGGATCATTCAGCAGTGGGGAAACAGACACAATGCCAGGATGATGGACATTAAAGGTAAGTTATTCTAATGGATTTTATTTAATTTTTTTTAATGGCTCCTTATGCTTTGTGAATGAGTGTTGTGGATTTTAACTGTTTCTGGTCATTTTAAGTCCAGAATGTTGAAGGAGACCCAGAGGAGCAGACCTCAAGTGAGGACCAGCAGAGAGATTCTACATCACCACACAGAGCAGGCTCAGCTGTATCTCTGTCCAGCCTTCATCAGCAATCTTCATCTTCCTCATCTTCATCTTCCTCTGTGTCCTTGCTGTCTGGGAGTGACATTGTAAGCTCCTGGTGTAGTTTCTTGGAAGTACAAGAGAAGTCATTAAAGGCATATGTCAACACATTTCTGCATTAAATCCATTGAGTCCTACCAAAATCCGTTGAATCCCTACAAAACCATTAAGCTCTCATTATGTTGGCTTCGTAATTTACTACATTTTACAATATTGATAATTAATAAAGAGCTGAATAATTTTTTTTTTCCCCCTTTACAAATTAGTTTTTGGTTCTTTAATGGTGACACTTTTTTTTTTTAGTGCATTAAAGTGTCAGATTCAATATCTTGACAAAGTCTTTTATTTATATATATATATATATATATATATATATTAGTTATTTGTTTTTTGTTTTCAATTTGTAATCTTAAGCACATTGGGACGCATCATTAAAGTGACCCAGGAAGTAATTGACTACAGGGAGTGGATCATTCAGCAGTGGGGAAACAGACACAATGCCAGGATGATGGACATTAAAGGTAAGTTATTCTAATGGATTTTATTTAATTTTTTTTAATGGCTCCTTATGCTTTGTGAATGAGTGTTGTGGATTTTAACTGTTTCTGGTCATTTTAAGTCCAGAATGTTGAAGGAGACCCAGAGGAGCAGACCTCAAGTGAGGACCAGCAGAGAGATTCTACATCACCACACAGAGCAGGCTCAGCTGTATCTCTGTCCAGCCTTCATCAGCAATCTTCATCTTCCTCATCTTCATCTTCCTCTGTGTCCTTGCTGTCTGGGAGTGACATTGTAAGCTCCTGGTGTAGTTTCTTGGAAGTACAAGAGAAGTCATTAAAGGCATATGTCAACACATTTCTGCATTAAATCCATTGAGTCCTACCAAAATCCGTTGAATCCCTACAAAACCATTAAGCTCTCATTATGTTGGCTTCGTAATTTACTACATTTTACATGTGCCACTGACTTTTTTTTTTCGTTTTCTTTCAGGATTCTGACACACCATGCAAAGCTTCAGTTCTTCACGTGTTCTTTCCAGTGTCGTGCATGACTGATAACAATAAGAAACCACAGAGAAAAGCAAATGCATCTGGAACTTTCCTCCACTCCAGAAGTCAGGTAATTCCTCCAATTTTAGTTAATTTGCACCGTCATTAAAGAATGAGAGAGAGTTGTTGCATCTCTCAGCGGCTCAACTCTGTGTTAATGCCATGTTGACCTTTCTGGGAGTCATCTACACTAAGTGGTGGTAGAACAGGTTGTTTGTTCCCTATTGATGGCCATTCAGAGGTGTCAGTGTATTCTTATAAAATACTTTTTGCTTCCAGTTGTGGTTGTAGTTAATTGTGTACTGTTTTATATTATTCCTTCCTGTTTCAGTCGCACACTTTACCCAGCAAACAATGTATGGATGGTTTGACTTCTGTGAAAGGATTAGTCCACATGTCTCCGGTTTACTCCAGCTCAATACCCAGCCCCAGTCACTACATTAATGTAAGAGACTTTTGTGATCATCTAGTATTAAACTCCTTTATCATGTCAGTGGTTGGATATTTGCTTGTTTTAAGGCTTTAATCCCCTTTTATTTATTTTTCCCCATTTGAAATACATGTGCCATCGTTCTGTCAAGGGGAAGACTGTTACACATTAAATATCTATCTATCTAATCATCTATCTATATATCTGTCAGTTTTTTTTGCTTGTTTGTTTCAGAATGGCCAGAGATTTAAGGGGCCTCCACATACCTATTGTTTAGAGCGTAACATTGTGCCTATCCCCAGAGGACATCATCCTCCGTATGGTCGTAACAGCTTGCGGAGGCGGCGAAGGGACACTGCTCCCATGAGTCTCAGCAGATAGTACCAACCATTTCTCCAAATAATGTGGGCCACAGTCTTTTGGTTCCATATATCAAAGGTAACCCTTCTGCTTAAGATGTACAACATCTGAAACGCACTTTGATTTTTGTTTTGCCCAGTGCTTTATCTGTGACGGCACATTTGGATGTGCCTGTTTTCATTTGTGCATTTTTCTACTTCCTCTGTTTTGTTGTCTTTTAAACTTTTGTTTGTATGACAATGTCTAATACCTTTTTTTGTTTATTGATATTCTTTGTTTACTATAACGTTTAGTTAGTTGTTCATCTCTAATTGTTTTCAGAATATTTTTGATAAGTCTTGTCACAGCATCGCTAGGCTGTGATTGCTTTTGTACTGTAAATCTTTATGTACCATCTGTGCAATATGGCGCTTTTTTAATTTTAGTTAAATTTAAATAAAAAAAAAAAATTTGAATGTAAGTTGACATTATACTATACAATATGGATTACTTTGTATGTGCGTAGTATTTTATCATGTTCAAATCCATATCACAACCAGTTTTATTGTTGGGATTGTGGTTTTGTGCATGTTGATCTTGTGTGTACTACAAACTACTTGCCCATCTGCTGGCAGTTCAGACAAGCACTTAATTTTGTGCTGACAAATGGATTAGTGCTTTAATCGTTTGCTCGGTATCAAAATCATCTCCCCCTTTTCAGATGTGTATTTTCCATCCATATTACATCTATTTTATTTAACACTTTAAAAGTATCCGATGTATGACTTGAATATGCACTGTTTTAAGTTAACCGATTAGTATTCTTTGTTTGCTCACATGATCTCCTGATTAAGGACATACTATTTTTACTAGTTTCAGCAATGCTCTCCTTAATCAGTTACATATTCACTTGCTTTTGATGCATTTTCTCCACCCACCCTCAGATGCATGTAATGGTCTAAATGTTGTCGTCTTGGACTTCCTATTTTGCCACCAGATGGTGACCTTGCATCCAACTTTTTTAAATTTAATTTTATATAAATTTTGCTATAGAGTTCACCATGAACAAAACATTTGAGCAAAACATTTCACACTACATATTTATGTTCCAAAATACCTTTTGACGAGATTTGGCACTTCATACCTTCTTGCTCGAAAACCTGATTGTAGTTTCTAGGGCCTCTGATTCATAGACTCCATTTTGACCATTGTCCGTATGATCACAAAGCCAGTTCTCGTCTGACTCTTAACTCTGCCAGATGAACAGGGAACACTGAAGGTTTGAACACCAGAGAGGTTTGTTTCATGTGTCTTGAACGAGGAGAGTTTTGTGCCAATACAGTGATTTAGTTCCAGAAATCAATCACTGAATGCTCTATAAAGTCTTTTAACCTGCATGTAGGTGCTGTTTGAATGTAGTGTATGATGTCTTAAGTTTAAGACTTTTCTGATATACATTTTTATGTTTTGTACTCCAAATAATTTTTAAAATAAACATCTTAAATTGCTGCTATCACTTTTGTCTTTATTTTTTCTTAAACTTGTGTACTATATTTGAGTCCTCTGTCTCACGGCACGCATGTGCAGCATAAATTTACACCCATATTAACCAGTTACCATTTTTACACCGTTGTAGCACAAATGCTGTTGCATTGCAATAATGTGGCAACATTCACTACTAAAAAGTTGATAAAGTAGATAAATTACTTTATATACCGTTTGTGTGTGTGTGTAATATTTATATATATATATA